TGTTCACTGCAGTCGTATCTGCTTCAACTGTATGCATGCCAGATGTTATACTGCAGAGTAACAGTGTAAACATAGTCAGAGTCGAGGTTTCTTGTTCTGCAAGCTGTGTGCGTAATACCTGCTCGGGGAGTCGTCTCATATTGTCATTCTGCTTCAATAGTGTCAATGTAAGATGATAGGATAGAGAGATATAGTGTGCACAACGATGATGTCGATGTTCCTTCATTCGCCTATTGTACCCATTATAATCCCTTCAAAGTCGTATTATACGGTCACTGCAATCGTTCCTGCATTAACTGTATGCATGTCATATGCTAGACTGCAGAGTTACAGTGTGAACATAGTCGAAGTCGAAGTTTTTTGTTCTGCAAGTTGTGTGCGTAATACCCGCTTAGAAGTCGTCTCATATGGGCATTGCGAACACTTTTGCGTCAATAGTATCCATGTGAGATGATAGGATAGAGAGATAGAGTGTGCACACCGATGAAGTCGATGTAACTTCATTTGCCTATTGAACTCGTTATATACCCTTCAGAGTCGTCTTATACAGTCACTGCCATCGTATCTGCTTCAACTGTATGCATGTCAGATGCTTGGCGGCAGAGTTACAGTGTAAACATAGTCGACGTCGAAGTTCCTTGTTGTGCAAGTTGTGTGCGTTATACCCGCTTGGAAGTCGTCTCATATGGGCATCGGAAACTCGTCTGCTTCAATAGTATACATGTGAGTTGATAGGAAAGGGATATAGAGTGTGCACACCGATGCAGTCAATGTATCTTCATCTGCCTATTGTACTCGCTATATACCCTTTAAAGTTGCCTTATATGGTCACTACGATCATATCATCTTCAATTGTGTGCATGTCAGATGCTAGACTGCAGAGTGACAGTGTAAACATAGTCGACGTCGAAGTTACTTGTTCTGCGAGCTGTGTGCGTTATACCTGCCTGAAAGCCGTCTCGTATGGTCAATGCGAACTTGTCTGCTTCGGTAGTGGTTATGTGAGGTAATAGGATAGAGATATATAGTGTGTACGACAACGATGTATCTTCATTTGCCTATTGTACTCGTAATATACCCTTCACAGTCATCTCAAACGGTCACTGCAATCGTATCTGCTCCAACTGTATGCATGTCATATGATAAACTGCAGAGTAATGATGTAAACATAGTCGAAGTCGAAGTTCCTTGTTCTGCAAAGTGTATGCGTTATACCCGCTTAGGAGTCGTCTAATATGGTCAATGTGAACTTGTCTGCTTCAATATCGTTCATGTGATATGAAAGGACAGAAAGATATAGTGTTCACAACGACGAAGTCGATATATCACCATTTGCCTGTTGTACTCGCTAAATACCCTTCAAAGTCGTCTTATATGATCACTGTCGTCGAATCTGCTTCAACTGTATGCATGTCAGATGTTATACTGCAGAGTTACAGTGTAAACATAATCGAAGTCAATGTTTCTTGTTCTGTAAGCTGTGTGCATTATACATGCTTGGAAGTCGTCTTATATGGTCATTGCGAAGATGTCTGCTTCGAGAGTGTCCATGTGAGATGATTTGATAGAGAGATATAGTGTGCACAACGATGAAGTCGATGTATCTTCATTTGCATATTGTACTTGTTATAAATCCTTCAAAGTCATCTCATACGGTCACTGCAATCGTTTCTGCACCAACTGTATGCAAACTGTATGCGTTATAATCGCTTGAAAGTCGTCTTATATGGTCAATGCGAACTTGTCTGCTTCAATAGTGTCCATGTGAGATGATAGGATGAAGATATATAGTGTGTACGACGATGGGGTCGTTGTATCCCCATTTGCCTATTGTACTCGTTATATACCCTTCAGAGTCATCTCATACGGTCACTGCCATCGCATCTGCTCCAACTGTATGCATGTCAGATGCTGGAGTGCAGAGTTAAAGCGTAAACATAGTCGAAAACAAAGTTTCTTGTTCTGCAAACTGTATGCGTTATACTCGCTTGGAAGTCGTCTTATATGGTCAATGCGAACTTGTCTGCCTCAATAGTGTCCATGTGAGATGATAGGATGAAGATATATAGTGTGTACGACGATGGAGTCGTTGTATCCCCATTTGCCTATTGTACTCGTTATATACCCTTCAAAGTCGTATCATACGGTCACTGCCATCGTACCTGCTTCAACTGTATGCATGTCAGATGCTGGACTGCAGAATTACAGTGTGAACATAGTCAAAGTCGGAGTTTCATGTTCTGCAAGCTGTGTGAGTTATACCCGCTTGGGAGTCGTCTTATATGGTCAATGCAAACTTGTCTGATTTGATGGTGTCAATGTAAGATGATAGGATAGAGAGATATAGTGTGCACAACGATGAAGTCGATGTATCTTCATTTGCCTATGGTACTCGTCATATACCCTCCATAGTCGTCTTATATGGTCACTGCAATCGTATCTGCTCCAACTGTATGCATGTCAGATGCTAGCTGGCAGAGTTACAGTGTAAACATAGACGAAGTGAAAGTTTCTTGTTCTGCAAATCGTGTGCGTTATTCCCGCTTGGAAGTCGTCTCAAATGGTCAATGAGAACTCGTCTGCTTCGATAGTGGTCATGTGCGGTGATAGGATAGAGATATATAGTGTGCACAACAATGAAGTCGATGTATCTTCATTTGCCTATTGTACTCGTTATATACCCTTCAAAGACGTCTTATACGGTCACTGCAATCGTTCCTGCATCAACTGTATGCATGTCATATGCTAGACTGCAGAGTTACAGTGTGAACATAGTCGAAGTTTTTTTTTCTGCAAGTTGTGTGCGATATACCCGCTTAGAAGTCGTCTGATATGGGCATTGCGAACACTTTTGCGTCAATAGTATCCATGTGAGATGATAGGATAGAGAGATAGAGTTTGCACACCGATGAAGTCGATGTAACTTCATTTGCCTATTGAACTCGTTATATACCCTTCAGAGTCGTCTTATACAGTCACTGCCATCGTATCTGCTTCAACTGTATGCATGTCAGATGCTTGGCGGCAGAGTTACAGTGTAAACATAGTCGACGTCGAAGTTTCTTGTTGTGCAAGTTGTGTGCGTTATACCCGCTTGGACAATGATCTCTGTATCCAAGATTTGCCATTATTCTTATCGCTTTTTTCTGCGATCGAAAAACCGTGATGGCATTGCTAGAGTTACCCCAGAGACGGATGCCATAGGATATAACCGAATGGAATAAGGAGAAATAAGCTACTTTCAGTATATCAATATTAGTAATTGGTTCAAGTTGTCTCAATACAAATAGAACTTTTGATAGCCTAGGAAGCACATATTCTACATGACAGGACCAATTTAAACGATCATCGATTTTAATACCCAAAAAAGATACCTTCTGTCCATTTTGATGAAGAGGATTAGAGGAGACTATTAAGTTTTGAGTCTTCTTCTCATTCAATTTGAGTTTGGTTTGGGTGAACCAGCTTTTAGCCATATTTTCTGCGTAACCAGCAGTTTGAGTTAAGGTGGCATGTATGTTATTGGTGCATATTAGAGTCGTGTCATCCGCAAATAGGATACATTTTATAGGTGCAATAGACTGACATAGGTCGTTTATATATACGAGAAACAGAAACGGTCCAAGAACGGAACCCTGTGGTACACCATGTTTGATTTGTTTTAGTTCTGATTTGTCATTGTTTGAATCAACACATTGATATCTACTGTTGAGGTAAGAACTAATGAGATCTAAAACTTTCCCTCCCAATCCGTAGTGACTTAATTTTTGAATGAGTATCTCATGTGATACACAGTCAAAGGCCTTTGTCAGGTCACATAATGTTAATGAAGTATGTCTGCCATGATCGAGGCCCTCAACTATGTCACTTAATATGCTGAAAGCAGCCTGAGTGGTAGATTCATTCTTGCGGAAGCCATATTGTGATTCACTGAAATAGAATTTTCAAAATGAGAATAGAGACGATCTTTCAAAAGTATTTCAATAATTTTACCAATGATAGAAATGATGCTTATTGGTCGATAATTGTCCATGGATGACTTATCACCCTTTTTGAAAATTGGAATGACTCTGGAAATTTTTAGTGCAATCAACTTGAGAGAGTGATATTTTGAATTGTTCTACTCCTTTTTTTGTGATGCTCATTCTAGAACTATTAGTGTAATCAAGATCTGTATGTTCATTCATTGAAAGAAATAAAAATTGACCCTTGTGGTCAGATAAACAGGGGTCTAAGACCCCAACTCTAGAAGTGCGTGCAGTTAAGTTTGAAACTTTATTATCAATACAGGTTGCGGATCTTGCAGAGACTCTTGTGTAATCTGAGATCATTATTTCCAATCCAAAAGACTGTAGCATACATTTCAAATTAAGAAGCGGTAACGACATGGAAGTGAAATTTATGTTGAAATCCCCAACCAGTACAATTTTTTTGTTTTGTTTGGAAAAACTGGAAATCAGATCTTCCAAGTTGTTGATGAATACATTTACATCTCCTGAACATGACCTGTAGAGGGCTATTATCACAATGTTTAGGGACTGCAAGAGTATGCCGCAGAACTCAGAATGTAATTCTCTGTTGAACTTGCTCAGATTCAGAGTTTTTGCATTTGAACTGTTCCTACAATACACAGCAACACCCCCATGTTGAAGTGATTCACGACAAAATTGTGCTGCAATTTAATAATTACTAATATTTATGGTAGACAGGTTGTCAGCTGATTGCCAGTGTTCAGACAGACAAATAACATCAAAATCTGAAATGTCAGTGAAAACGTTCAATTCATTTACCTTATTTGCAAGACACTGTATATTAACATGAAAAATCTTGAAATTATTATCATCTATTCTTAGGACTTGTTCAGAAGTGATTGTGGACCTGCCTCCTCTTGTATGTGCGGCATCGTCCTTTTCATTACAAAAAAAACGCGATACAAGTGCTCCAGCAGGCCATATATCACGCTTCCAGGCTTTAGTAAAATTTTCTTGTCTAATGGTCACCTTCATGGATGCATACAGTTCAGGATGTTTGGACATGTGACTTTTACAGGACCCTTCCGGAAAATTGTTGATTAAGATTTTCTTCAAGTCATCAGGCTTTGTTGTGGGGTGGAGCCTTGTGACATGAAGAGATACAAGTTTTGCGACCGTACTGATGCCAGTGTTTTCATCATTCCGACCAACAACGAAACGTCTATTATTATTCCTTGATCTTCTAGGTTCAACTTTCTCCCAATGTTCTTCATCCTCATTTCCAAGGTTTTGAAGCTCATTCAATTTGTTAGCTGATTGTGCATTTGAAACGGCAGCACACACATCCTCAGTGGTGAAAATTGTTTGATGGTTCTTGTTCTTATTAATAATACTATTAACATTTTGTTGCAGTTTTGATTCCGGGTGCGCGAATTTGGCAACCGTGCTGAAGGTACGCTTGGTTGCTGCCACTTCAGGGGCACTGTTATTGACTGGTATTGATTGATTTATTGAAGGTGTTTGACCTTGATTAGTATTCGGGTTTTTGCAGCTGCCTAGGTTTTTTGTGGAGCTGACCTGTTTTTCAGTGACAAATGTTATTTTTTCTTTCAACAAACTGCAATTTTCGTTCAGAATATCGCATTTGGATTCTAACTCCTTCACTAATTCACGTAGAAGCTTGTTTTCAGCTATGTACCTTTCTAATAACTTGTCACGATTTTCATTGTCTTCATCAGTTTCACATTCACTGTCTGATGAATCCTTGGATGCATCGTTTTGCACTTCGTGTCTGCATACGGCACTTTTTGCTTGAGCTGCTTGAATCAAGCACCGAGGATGGAAGATGAGATTACACTTTTTGCACTTTACAGCATGAACAACTGACTTTTTACAATGTTTGCATCCAGTCTTAGACACAGCGTGAGAAGACGACCCGTCTTCATCCGCCATCTTGAATACTATTATGTTTCAAACAGTCCAAATAATCGTCAAATGTGATTTTTTTCTTGACTACATGAAATTTTACACCTTTTGACTTTTTAATACACTTTTTTCCACCCTCAGTGTTTGGTTTATTACTATTGTCTAGAAAAGTATATTGTTTCGAACGTAGACCAACAAAGTCAGTTATTTTTTCCCCCAGTATTTCATCTTTCATCAAACCGGCTACTTTTTCATTCACTAACGGTATACTATATTTATTATCTATAGGGTAATCACTTGTATCAAATTTGGTCAAATCTTTTTTGATAACTTCTTTATATACATCATCACGATGTAATTCATATAAGAGACTGTCTGTATCTGTATAAATTGACTCACAATCTGGTAATTTGAATTTTTTCAACATGTAATCGTAATGGAAACTGTGAACACAAGTTTTGGATATATCTAAGATAGCCATACCGATATACAAGGGTTCATTGGATATTATATTGGTTTTTTTCATTTCAATTGCCATCAGCATCTCATCAAACATCGATAAACTTGTAGCAACAAAATTACCGAGTAAAGATAACTTCTATAGTAAATTAATTGATGAGCATATCACAGATGAGGATTACGATCATGCAAAAAGGTTTGAGATACATTTCAAATTGAATCATCAGGAGATTATTCTGATCTTTATTTGGAAACAGGTGTCATGTTGTTAGTCGATGTATTTGAAAATTTCAGAAAAATATGTCATGAAACATACGGATTAAACCCCTTTTTTTTTTTTGTTTTTCGCCGAGGTGGTTGAAATCTTTTATAGACATCCCCCATATGATAGTGTGGGAGTCCCCTCCATGGTATACCCACTAAACACTCCACCCCGTTGTACCTCGGGTTCACCACACCCGTACTCACAAGTTGTGAGCCCCTGAGGGGATTGCCAGAGCCTCGTTATCAATCCGCGGCCACATAAACAGATGTTCACAAATTGCCCCATCCTCGCACTCAGATGTCCACAGAACTGTCCCATCTCAGTGATGATAGCAAAGATGTTTCCAAAATGCTCAATCTGCCGAGCAGCCGCGGCTTGTCCTCCCCGCACTATGGTGAGGTTGGGCTTTAGGGGAGAAGGAAAAGAGGAGAAGTGACCAAGGGAGGCCGATGGAGAAAAAGATTGGAAACTGAAGAGTGAAGAGGATACCATCAAAGACAAGTTGAAGATTTATGAGTATCCGGCTAAGGTACCTCGGGATTGCCATTCCCGTACTCACAAGTCGTGAGCCCCTGAGGGACGGATTAGACCCTGCACACTACTATACTTTACCAGGTTATACTTGGGATTGCATGTTGAAATAAACTGAATGTAGGCTGGATACTATTCAAGATGTTGATGTACTACTATTCATAGAAAAGGGAATAAGAGGTGGGGTCAGTCAGTGTTTATATAGACATTCCATTGCTGATAATAAATATATGTCAAATTTCAAAAACAATGAACCGTCAAAGTACATTATGTAATAATAATTATAATAATAATAAATTGACTTCATTTGACAAATGTACACACATTTGCCCTAAAAAGGCGAAGATTAGCTAAATAGCTACTCTTGAACTCCTAACCTTTTCAGTTCACAGAATAAACAAAAAAACTGAAATGAAAGTATTATACAATGTTATTAATATGGTATATGTATGTATAGATAGAAGAGAATAGATGAAATGCATCGATCTACAAAATGTATGAAATATATGCATAGATAGAAAAAAAGGAAGTTAATTTGAGAAAGCAACAATGTGACTAGTCTTGTTGATTCAGCAGTTCATTTTTAACGAATTTTCTGAATTTATTCAATGGTGTTGTTAATTCTGGTTTGAGAGAATTGAAAAGTTTTACAGCATTATAGGTGAAACTGCGTTCAAACAGAGCAGTCGAATGGTTTGGCATGTTGAGTACTTGTGAATGTCTGGTGTTGAGATTATGTAAATTATTTCTAAAGACCATTTTATGAGAAAGGTATGGCGGACTTTGAGTATTTGATAGTTTGTGCAGAAAAATAAGGAAATGATATTTAAATACATTAGAAACTCTAAGCCATTTCAACTGCAGGATGTATTGAGAAATGTGATCATATTTCCTCAGATTGAATATGAATCTACAACAAGTATTTTGCACGCGTTGTAGTTTATATTGGGTGCATTTATCAAGACATGGATAGTAGACAATGTTACAACAATTCAAAAGAGATAAAACTAAAGATTCTGAAAGTTTTTTCCTTGTTTTGTAATTTAAAATATGTTTATCAGCAAAAAGTAAACGAGTGCGCATATAACATTTACGTAATAAAAGATTCACATGATTCTTGAATCTCAAAGAAGTATCCATGGTCAATCCTAAATTTTTTACAGTATCAGATATAACTAAAAGTGTGTTGTTCAGTTCGATATTCATATTATTTGCGATATTAGGCCTCAAATTTTTGTTACCAAATAAAAGGACCATTGTTTTAGTAGGATTAATTGATAGGTTGTGCTTATTAGAAAAGTCAACAATGCGTTGGAGATCGCTATTTATGGTTTCAGCTGCTGCATTATACAACTTAGGATCGAAATAATGGATTATTTGTGTATCATCCGCATAAAGTTGAATTTCGCTAGTGTTTAAAATTTCTGGCAAGTCTGATGTATACAACAAAAATAGTAGAGGACCTAGGATAGATCCCTGAGGAACTCCAGAAACAATTTTCCTTGAGTCGGAGTACTTATTATCAACACATATTCGTCGTGTGCGATTCCATAAATACGATTTGAAAAAAGAGAGTGCTGTAGTATTGAATCCGTAATATTTTAATTTAGAGATGAGTAACTTATGATCTTTCAAATCGAATGCCTTAGAATAATCCAAGGTAATTAGAACAGCTGCAAGTTTTCTATCTAAGGCACCAATTATATTGTCCAATAAATTTAAGAGTGCTGTAGTTGTACTATGGCATTTTCTAAATCCCGATTGATGAATAGGTAGTATGCTGTTGGGTTTCACGAAGTCATTCACTTGTATATATACTGCTCTTTCGAGTATTTTGGAAATCACAGGAAGTAAGCTAATTGGTCTCAAGTCATGCACACTATTGGGTGATGCAGTTTTTGGAATTGGAATTATGATCGACTCACGCCATTTTTTGGGAAAATATCCACATTCCAAGCAACAGTTCAATACATGAGTGATATATGGTCAAGTATAGTAGGCAAGCATAATTTCACCACGTGAAGCGTGATACCGTCATTTCCAGCGGCATTTGATTTAATATTGTTTATTATTTGTAGAACTTTGTTTTGATCAATGAGCGATAAATCAAAAGTATTATCACTATACCTATTATTCAAGTAGAACTCATATGTCATGTCACAGTTATTCGAATTTTCAAAAATACTTATGAAGTATTCATTTATTTCGTTTGGGTCTCGCAAGGTATCAGGTAGTTCACTATTACATTTAGAAGTTTTAATGTTCATGTTGCTCAAACCTTTCCATAGTTTTCTATAATTTTTTTCATTTTCTAATTTTATTAGATATGCTGATTTTTCCCTTCTTATGGATGCTGAGGCGAAATTGCGGCATTCCTCATAATGATTCCAGTTTTCCGGTGTTTTGTTTACTTTATATTTGGTAAGTGCTCTATCACGTTCTTTCAAAATCAATTTGAGGTTATCCGTAAGCCAAGGAGCAGGTGGTTTACTTACTCTTATTGTTTTATAAGGTGCATGCAAATTGAAAATATAATTTATATTATCTTCTAAGAATCTGACTTCATGATTTATGTCATTTATATGATATATATCATTCCAAGAAATACTCAATAGCTCCTGTTTGAACGCATCTGCACTGAATTGTTTGAAATCGCGAATACGAATAAATTTCTGCTTAGATTTCCTAACAACAACATTCAAAGTACAAAAGGGCATTCTATTGTGATCACTGACATCTGAGGAAACCGTACCGCTATTAAGACATATTTTTTTACAGTTGATAAATATGGGGTCTAAACATGTTGCAGAGGATGCAGCAATTCTTGTAGGTTCATTGATAATATTAGAATAGCCATAAGCATCAAAAGTTTCCAGCAAGGAATTATGTTTGCAGCATGTTTACATTCAAGTCGCCTATTATAATAGAATAATCATATTCGGTCAATAGTTGGGGAATAATATCGTTCAAAGCATATAACATGTCACTAAGTCTGGAGTTGGGGGGACGATGAAATATAGCTAGAGAAATTTTATAGGTACTTATTACCAGACTCAAGAATATGTATTCGAAATTTACATTTTCTAAAATAATATCAGGAATCGCACAAGATAAAGAAGATCGGACATAGACACCTACACCACCTCCAACTCTATTTAACCTATCTCTCCTAAATAATGTATAACCTGGTAACAACACTGCATCGGAATCAATTGCTTCATTTAACCAAGTTTCAGTTACACCTATTATATCATATAAATTGGAAACTAGTTGGCGAAAGTTCACAAAACTAGGTATAAGAGATTTTGTGTTTAAATGTGCTATCTTTGCTTTGTACTAGCCATAATTAAATAATGATTTCAATGAGTTTGAATATAAATGAAGTTGGTTGAATATAAATCTTGTAAGCTATATGGAATGAGTTGAAAGTATAAAAAAGTTCTACTGATGGTAGTTGATTTTGCCCCTGAGTATTTCAATGTGAAATTTCAGGGTTGGACAATCAGGACTGTTACTTTGATGATCACTGGCGTGATTTGTTTTATATTTTGCATTCGAGGTATCACAGTTTTTACAAAACAATTTTTCCTTGGGGCACATTTGTTCTTCATGTTCATCACTGCATATAGGGCATACCTTTTTCTGCGTGCAGTCTTGTTTTTTGTGATAATAACCTTGACAGTTGAAGCATTTTGGTACACTTATGTCCTCGTATACCATGAGTCTTTCCCATCCTAGACATACCTTCTTCAGACTTAGAATTTGATGAAAG